CTGGTCCTGAGACCCTGACGATACTGAAGCGTGCCAAAGCACCATCCTGAATCGTCACAGAACACCATTCCTAGGACTTCAACACCGCGAATCAACATAATCATTGCGCCTTGACGGTTCTGAATCGCTCCAACATTCTATGCAGTAATCATGCGGATCCGTGAAATTCCTGCATTTTTTTGTAAACGAACGTGCGCGGCGCTAAGGGAACCGCCTTCAACCCATGAACATCTTACAAGTAGTTTAAACGAATGTGCGCGGCGCTAAGGCGAGAGCCACATGGTGAAAACCACCCGTCCTCAACCCGCTAAATTCCTGCAAGTGTTTAAGACGATGTGCGCGGCGCGAAGGTGAGGGCCACATTTAAAAAACGACCCGTCCTCAATCCGTGAAGCTGTTTGCAAGTGTTCAAAAACGAATGTGCGCAGCGCTAAGGCGAGAGCCACATGTTGAAAACGAATACGCGCGGCGCTAAGGCGAGAGCCACATTTTGAAAACCACCCGCCCTCAGTCTGTGAGACTTTCGCAACGTATCAAGCTTCAGGATCAGAAGTGGTGAGGAAGTCTCAGGCGAAACGCCTGGCCAGCCTTCTTGACCAGCCTCGGGTGCGACAGGCAGGAGTTATTTAAAAGAGAGGAATGGAGGAGGAGGAGGAGGAGGAGGAGGAGGAGGAGGAGGAGGGGAGGAGGAGGAGGACGGGAGCAGGTTCAATAACACGTTTTCTGAAGGATCAGCAATTTTTCTGAGGGCTCAACAAGAATTCTCCTGGCGAAAGACCCCACCATATGCAGTTGTGAGTACCGTCGTTGTCGGTATCGCCTTCGGTGAATCTCTTTATGCGGCCACGAATCGTGTGAAGGGTGCGCCTGTGGGACCTAAGGCGGAGCTCCCTGTGGGGCCACGAACCATGTGAGGGAGGTGCCAAAACGAGGATGACGCCCACATGCGGGCTGCGCCAGTGGGGCCTTAGCTGGAGCTCCCTATGGGGCCACGAAGCACGTGTGAAGGGTGTGCCGAAACGGGGGCGGCGCCCACAAGCGGGTTGAGCCAATAGAGCCTTAGGTGGAGCTCCAGGTGGGGCCACGGAACGTGTGCGGAGTGTGCCAAGCGGGGGTGACGCCCGCATGCGGGCTGCGCCATTGGGACCTTGGGTGGAGCTTCCTGTGGGGCCACAAAATGTAAGAGGGGGATGCCGAAGCGGAGGTGACGCCCACATGCGGGCTGCGCCATTGGTGCCTTAGGTGGAGCTCCCTATGGGGCCACGCAACGTGTGAGCGGTGTGCCGAAACGGAGGTAGCGCCCACATGCGGGCTGCGCCGCTGGGACCTTGGGCGAAGCTCTGTACGGGGCCACGAAACGCGTGAGGTGTGTGCCGAATCGAAGGTGACGCCCACATGCGGGCTGCGCCATTGGCACCCTGGGTGGAGCTTCCTATGGGGCCACGACACGTGCGAGGGGTGTGCCGAAGCTGATGGCGATGATGGTGATGATGACGGCGATGGTGATGACGATGATGGTGATGATGACGGCAATGATGATGATGATGATGAGGATGATGATGATAATGTTGATGTTGATGATGCTGATGCTGATGATGACGACGACGATGATGGTGATGGTGATAAGAGCAGGAGGGATAGGGCAGCGAAAGGAGTGACGCGGGGCAGTGTCTCTTCAAAACGAAGACACAACACCACAGGATGGTTGGGAAAGATTCTGGGAGATAAAAAAAATCTGGTCCCCGAGGCACGATCCGTGCGAGGGTTGAGCCAAAATTGGTTGGTTCGTCGGTCGGTTGGTTGATTGATTGGCAGGTTGGCTTATTGGTTCGCTGGTTGGTTGGTTGATTGGTTGGTTCCTTTGTTGGTTGGTTGGTTGGTCGGTGGCTCGTTTAGTAGGTTGGTTAGGGTGTCGGTTGATTGGTTGGTTTGCGTTGGTTGGTTGGTTGGTTTGTTGCTCGGTTGGTCGGTTGGGTGGTTGGTTGTTGGTTGGTCGATGGGCCAGTTGGCCAGTTGGCCGATGGGCCAGCTGGCTGGTTGGTAAAATTGGTTGGTTATGATTGCCTTGTTGGTTGGGTGGTTGGTTGGTTGATTGGTCGGTCGTTTGGTTGGTTGGTTCTTCGGTCGGTCGGTTGGTTGGTTGATTGATTCGTTGGTTGGTTGATTGGTAGGTTGGTCGGCCGGGTTGCCCTCCTGCCCAGGTGGTTCGTCGGTGTTCGATGGGTTGGGCGAATTAACGGGTTGGAGAGTTGAGGTGGTGTTGGGTCGGAGGGTTGAGGAGGCCGTGGCGGGTTGACGCTCGAAAGTTTGAGCGTCCTGGGTTTGACATCCCCTCTGTGTTGCTGAAGGCCTTCTGGGATGCGTCGGGCAGTGTGGCGGCGAGGATGATTACGACAATGATGAAAATATCAATGATGATGGGCAGCTATGATGGTGATGGTGATGATGATGGTGGTGATTGAAAGCACTGTGCCAGATGGTGATTATGGTTGTAAGGATAATGACGACAATGGTGATGATGATGACGACGACGATGACGTTTATGATGACCACGATGATGATGGTGATGGCGATGATGATGACGATGATGATGATGATGGTACTGATGGTGATGATGGTGATGGTGATGATGATGGTGATGGTGATTTTTGGCTATGGTGGCGATGGTGATGATGATGATGGTGATGATGGTGATGATGTCTATGACGATGACGATGACGACGACGATGATAAGAATAATAATGATGATGATGATGAGAATGATGATGATGCTGATAGATGGTGGTGATGATGATGATAGTGACGATGATGATGTTCATGATGATGATGATGATGATGATGATGATGATGATGATGATGATGATGATGATGATGGTGATGGTGATGATGATGATGATGATGATGATGATGATGATGATGATGATGATGATGATGATGATGATGATGATGAGGGTGATGGTGATGGTGCTGGTGCTGGTGCTGGTGCTGGTGGTGGTCGTGGCGTTGGTAGTGGTGATGATGGTGGTGATGATGATGCTGCTGATGACGGTCATGATGGTTATGTGGTTGATGATGAGGATGAGGATGAGCATTAAGATCAGAACGACGGGCGATTCCGATTTCAACGACGATTACGACGACCACGACTTACACGGATGGTGGCGTGGACGAGGAGGAGGAACACCAGGGGAGACACACGCCCCAGCGGGGCTACTGGTACAGCCACTGCGTATTGGTACGACCCCAGGGGCCGGGGCGTACTAGTAGGGCTAGTTTGGCCTATTCGTACGACCGGCGGAAAAGCCCCCGCTCTAGACATCCTCGAAAGTCTGCGCCAGCGGGACTACGAGTACGGCTGCTTTGACCTACTTGTACGGCTCTTTGGCCTATTCGTACGACCGGTGGAGAAAGTCACCGCTCGAGAAATCCTCGAAAGTCCGCGCCAGCGGGGCTACGAGTACGGCTACTTTGGCCTACTGGTGCGGCCCTTTGGAACCTGACCGGGGCGTACTAGTAGGGCTATTTTGGTCAGGCCCGGAAAATGTTCAACGCAATGCAACGCAATGCAACGCAACGCATCGCAGCGCAATGCAATTCAAGGCGACGCAGTGAAACGCCAGGCACTGTAACGCAATGCGCGCCTCGTCGCATTTCAGCGCTGCGGGCGCCCAAGAAAAAACCATCCCGTCACACTCGTCACATGGCAATGCCTGGGCGGGCGAAAAAATACTATTCCATTCTACCCGCCACGTGGCAGCGCCGCGGTGTCCGAAGACAAATACGATTCCACTCTACTCGCCGCGTACAGATACAGGAGCACCTGATGGCACTCCATTTCGTCCCGTGAGACGCGGTGGCGGAGTATATCACGACGACGATGACGACGACGACGACGACGACGACCTCCCTCGTCACTCGTCCTTCCTCCCCTCCTGTCTACCTCCTTCTGTTTTCTTCCTTCCCTGTCTTCCCCTCCTCCCCCTCGCCCGCAACCCAGTGCAACGCAAAGTATTACAAGCGCAACTGCAACGCAATGAAATGCAACACAATGCAAGGCAATGCGCTCCAACGCAATGCAATCCAACAGGATGCAACGCAGCACAGTAGTATCAGCCAGCGTTGACTCCAAATATAGTAGACGGTTCAAATCAAGGCATCAGAGGAAACAAGCACGTTTGGAATCCGCAATTCAGCAAGCAAGCGTGCAAGCAAGCGCGCAAGCAAGCAAGCAAGCAAACATAACCATAGGAATTACGGGGGGCATAGGAATTATGGGGGAGGGGCAACGGACCAACTGGTAAGGTTTGAGTTAGAACTCCGATACGGCAAGCCTATTTGGATAATATTCATCGCAGCACAATGCAAGGATCTGCAACGCAATGCCACGCAACGCAATGCAGCGCAATGAAACGCAATGCAATGCAATGCAATGCAATGCCTCCTCCCTTCTCCCTCCTCCTCCTCCTCTTCCGGTGCTGGAGACATTTGTTGAACCCCCGCCGCTCAGGTCTAACCTTCCCCCCTCCCTTCCCAGGACCAGAAAACATGTTCTTTAACCCCCAACGCGCGGGCCCCGAGACGGCGTCGATCGGCCAATGTGTTGCACACCCCTTACACGGATCGTGCCTCCACGGCTAGAAACAATGTGAAGCCTCAGACGTTAAAGATGTCGGAGCCATCCATTAAAGATGGCTTGATCCCCCAACCCGAGGAGGAGGAGGAGGAGGAGGAGGAGGTGAAGCAAGAGGAGGAGGAAGAGGAGGAGGAGGAGGAGGAGGAAGAGGGGGAGGAGGAAGAGGAGGAAGAGGAGGAGGCGAAGCAGGAGGAAAAGGAGGATGAAGAGGAGGAGCGGAGGGAGGGGAGGGGGAGAGGGGAGGCGCCCCCCATGCAGGGAGAGGGGAGGGCCCCTCCCTCGCCGGGGGCCGTGCGCGGCTCGCGCCTGCGCCGCGGAGCCCACCCGCTACCGTTTCGCCTCCCGCGGCCCCTTTTGCCGCCCGCAGGCCTCCCCGTTCTCTACAATGACGTGCATCGACGCCGAGGCCTGGCATCCACCCCCACCTCCTCCAACTCCTCGGCCCCCGCCTCCGCCGCCGCAGCGCGTGCCCGCGCGTTCCCAGTTCCTCGCTGCGCGCCCCGCGCCTCCTCCTCCTCCTCCTCCTCCTCCTCCTCCTCCTCCTCCCCCCCTCCTCCTCCTCCTCCTCCTCCTCCTCCTCCTCCTCATGCGTAGTCATTCTGGCTCAAGTCATTTTGGTTCAAGATCCCTTTCTACACCCACGGTCTGCTGCGAGCTCGCCCGAGCCCAGTGGGAAAACTGACCGTCGGACGTCCAGCACCACTTCGCCACCATGGCAGCCACGGGGGGGGTTCTGGGGCCGACCGGTCATCTCCAGCACGGGCGGCGTCGGCGCCGCCTGCTCGGACGGTCTCGCGCATTCCTCCTCGTGGTGATCGGCGGGATCGCGAAGATCGGCGGGAGCGGGATGGTTCACCTTCGGGGTCCTCACGATCCGATTCCCGTAGCCACACCCTCAATAGCGAACAACGTGGCGGCCGAGGAGCCCGCAATTGTGGCGACCGCCAGCGCCGCGATGCTCCCAAGCAGTCTCGTCAAGATCATTTCCGTCAACGGACAGCCGACGTCGCCTTTGCCATGGAGCGCGACGGTGTGGAACTCGCCGACATGCCCACCTTCGAGTCCCAGGCCACGCGCGGGGCTACAGTTTCCGCTGGCCTGGCGGCACCACACGACCCGTGGGCGGCGAGTGCGGCGGCCCTGCGTTCCGCCAGACAGGGTGTTCATCCTGATCATGCTTCTTCGGCTGCAGCGGCGGCCATGGCTGCAGCGGCGGCCCCGGACGGAGGCCTTGTCGGCGCACGGAGAAGACGGAGGAAAAGCTCTTGTCCAGGACCTCCTCGCGAGCATGGAGATCCGCATACAGGACCGCCTCACGTTTTCAATCGCAAATGGATCACAGATCACGCAGCAGACCCAGGCTGCGTTTGCAACCAGTGTCGACAAGCGCTTCGCTGCCCTCGAACAGCGAATGGCCAAGCAGGGGCGTGACATGGGCAGCATGGCCGAGCTCCGACGTCAGCCGGGTGCCCTCAGGAGGGGAATGGGCGTGCTGGGGGCGGGCGCACCAGCGCCCCTCCCGTTGCTCCGGCGTGGGAGCGCCCCGTCGACCACAACGCTATCGTGGGTTACGTCAAAAAGACCGTGGCCAAGTCTGCAGTGCAGGGGGCGCTGACTGAGCTCATGTGAGACGCTGGCATCGGCCACGAGCTGCGCGACGTGGAGGGTGACGAGCTGCGCACGCGCTTCATGGTGCGCTGGAAGGGAGACACCACCTTGGCCTCGCGGCGTGTCAACTGGTTCCTCTCGTGCATGCAGCTGGCTGGCCGCTCTTGGCGACGTCTTGCCGCCCAGCGACCGCACGGCCCACTAGTCCAGCTCTCGACTGGTCGGGACAGGCATCGGAAGCAGATCACGGGCGAAATCTTCCTCAAGCAACTCCGCGGCGCCCTCCAGCCCCAATTCAACAGCAAGCTGCTCATCGAGCGGGAGCCGTGCTCCACCACTTGCCAGTGGAAGCCCGTTCCAAGGCCAGCCCCTCCGCGGGAGTGGAGATCCAGTGGAACCAGACCACGCTGCGCCAGCTCGGGTTGGATAAGTTGGCGCTGGCATCTGCCCTAACTCCTGTCTTGGAGCCCGAGGCCCAAGAGTGGTGGCTTTGATCGAATTGCGCAGGCGCGGGGGCAGAGGTCGAAGAGAGTCCAGCCCGCCACGTGGAACTCGATGGTCCTATACCACCATGAACCCGCGATGCCCCTGAAGAATATTTCTGACCTGCGTTAGGCCACCAACAAACCGATGATCCTTGCATTGCAGGAAACTCACGGCTCGATGCACCGCGTCGCTCTTATCCTCCAGAGATCAGTTTCGCGCCAGAACCCAGTTTATCCTGGTGAACATGAAGATTCAGGAGGGGTGGTGACGACTTCTCAAAAGCCGCACCCGGGCTATGCCATAGATTTTCACGACACTGGAGTGGCACGTGGTAGCGTGCCCCGAGCGCGCACCAAAGTTTTTGAAGTGCCGGGCCACTCCTGGCCCCGTCGACAATGACCAGCTCGTCAACCCAGAGGCGCCCAGGGTCGACTTCGCGATCTCTTTTCTCCGAGCCGCAGAGTTTTGTGACCCAGAGGGTTTCGCGCAGCGCCTGCCCCTCCTCGCCCCCGCCACGCGGCCCCTCAGGGCCACCTCGCGCCACTCTTTCTCATTGGAACATGCACAACAACAGGTTGACTTCCGAGCAACTGCGCCACGCGACCTCGACGATCAAGGCGGACCTCAAGTGAGCCGAGCCCAACGCGCCGGAGCGCCTGGCGGCCATCGCTGGCGACTTCAACGTTGGGGAGACCATGGGCCGCGAGGGCTTCATGGAAGCCCAGGCGGAGAACTCTGCAGTCTGGCGCCGCCTTTACGGAAAGACAATGGGCGGGCGCGCTGGCGTCTGCAATGGAGCACGCCGCTGACCCCCAGACCAATTGGCAACGAAGCGTCACGTTTATCGACGAAGTAATCCAAGGCGCGCTGAAGTGGGCGCCGCGCTAGGGCCAGCAGTCGATCTTCACCCTATGAGAACTGAGCGATCACAGCCTGCCCGCGACTGCGCCAGCGAGTCGGCGGCCCACGCCGCGGGAGGCGGCTCGCCCTGCGCCGCTCGCGCCCGCGGTCTGCAAGCACGCGACATTCAAGGAATACTTCGAGTCCTACGTCAACACCCCCCCACTCCAGGACATGGCCCCCCCAGACCAGCACGCGACGCACACGGCTGCCACACTGGCGGCGGCGAAGGACACCCAGAATTTTCTCTTCCGCAACCACGGCCGCCCCCAAGAATCGTCGGCGACGATATTCCGGCAGATGGGCCGCGCCGTCAGTCGCAACTGGGGCGGGCTGGCCTCCGCCTCGATGGCCAGCCACGCGCGGGCGAGGGAGTTCATCGCAGTTGCGGAGGGCCAGGTGGGCATCGTACGTAGACTACGCTAATTTGCAGATGGAGTTCGACATGGGCCAACGATGGGCCGGCGCGCGCCGCGGGCGCGCGCCGCCGTCGCGCCTTGGAGCGCGACGAGCCGGCCGAGACCCAGGCTGAGCTCCGGAAGCGGTCGCAGGACCAGCAGCGACCCTTTCGGCGCCGACCCGAGCTTTGGACCCCGCCCGGGCCCCGACAGCGCTGGATAGGGCAGGCGAAGGCGGACGAAGAGGTGGCGGGAACCCTTGAGACCCGCGGGGCCCCGGCGATTGCCTGGGGCCCAGCACCCCGCCCGTCGACCCCCCAGCTTGCGCGCGGCGTCAACGCGCAGTCGGCCCGGGCATTCGCAAGGCCCCCCTGGACTGGACGGGTCCAAAATTGTCCATGAGATCCGATTTCAACGATTCCATCGGCGCTCACCGTCCGGAGGGTGAGCGACCGACAGACAGGGAAGGCGCAGCGCGGGACGCAGGCAAGACTCGCTCACTGGACCTTCGCAATGCTGGCGCGCAGGCGTTCTCGGCGGCGATCAACTTCACACGTCAAGGAGGCGCGGCGCGCTCTGTTGCGCGCCCCCACGAGGTTTCATCGTTGGCCAGGATTTCCTAAACAATGAAATCGAACTACATCGTCGTGCCCAGCTGGAGGGCGCGCTTCCTACCTCTCCCCCCCGTCCCCCTCTTCTCCTTGCCTTCGACCATGCGCGAGCTTTCCCGTCAGTCGAACACGCGCGTATGCGGGGCGTCTCGACGGCGCGGCGGGCCCCTTCAGGCGTGTCCGATGCCCCCCCAGCACTCGCACAGCGGCGCTCGCTCGCTCAGCTCAGACCCCCCCCCGCATCTCATCCTCTCGGGAGCTCTTCAGAGGGGTCCAGCCTCCGGCAGCCTCTCTGCTGCGGCGAGCCACTCACTCGCCGCTGACCTAGAGGCCTCGCTCGACCAGCGCTGGCGAGGATGCGCTCGCTGGTGCGCTGATAATTATTGATATTTGGTGGGCGGGGCGGTAGGTCCTCGGCAGCTCACCAAGGTGTTCCGCGCGTCGAAATGTCTCGCTGGCTAAGCACTGAGCCAAAAAAATGCGCCTCCGCACCGCTGTCTCAAGATTATTCCGGAACGCTGCAAGAAGCAGCCTGGCAGCTGTTGCAGCGCGTTGAGTCCTCGTGGGCATTGCTTCAAATAGCGCGCCAGCTCGTGCATCCAGGGGTGGAGCTGGGACCCAGCGCGACTCCAGCGGTCGAGGGTGCTCAACGAAACGAGGGCCCGGACCTGGGACATAGCCGGGTCGGCCGCGGGCCAATCCACCGCGGCCAGCCTCCACCCCGAGCGCGCCACCAGCGCGTTAGAGCACAAGGTTCAACTCTTTCGACTCCTCTCTCCCTCCACTGCGACGGGCACCACGTACTCTCGCTCGATTCATGGCGCCAGGCAGCTGGCCCCCGCTCTGCGCTTTCTGGGACTCGCCGCAACTTGCCAGTCCTGCGAGGGCCCTTGGCGCCAAGCGTCGCGGCCCCAGCTGCCGCCTGCCGCGCCAGAGCAGCCACTGGTAAATTTACCCGCTGGCGGCGTGAAGTTCGCAAGCTTCTCGAGGCTGCGAGACGGCGCTTGCCGACTGCGAGGTTCATGGAGGCACGCGGCGCCGCTCCGCGGCCTGAGTTCTGGCAGTCGCTAGCGATTGCCTGGGAGCTTCGGGGCGCCGCTAGGAAGGCCTTTCGGCGGGTCAGACCTGGCACTTTTACGCTTGGTAGGGTTTGGCTCGAACGGTCCAGGACAGGGAGTCGGTCTGGCAGAAGTCTGCGGAGCTTGGCGCGGCACGCGCGCGCGGAGACCTTTTGCGGCAGAACATCGGCGTCGAGGCTGATCCTGAGCTACGATCCTGGCTCGTGACCCAACAAGGCAAGTACAATTCCACAGAAAATAGACACATTTGCTGCCACCACTACCCACTGGAACCCCCAAAACTGACATCACCAATGGCAGTTGCCAGGAGAATCGGGCACAACC